AATCGAATTGTTCCCGGAACAAAATCGAATTGTTCCCGGAACAAAATGGAATTGATTCGGTGGGAATACAGCGACGAAATTTGAAATATGCACGCTAAAAAGTGAAATCTGAAGAATACAACACAGATTTTTGACTAACATAGAACATATATAGAATTTGTGTTTCAATCATTTTATTCAGATATATTTCAACGTGATGCATGAACGTTTGCTACTTTTAGAATTTTCGACATTCGGGGGCGGTCCCCAGACTACGGGTTAGCGATTTGCCCCATACACCACACTCAAAAAACGGTTTTCTCAGGATAGTCAAATTTGGCGCATTTAAATTTATTTATTTCTTTCAAATTTATTCTTGAAAATTATGTAGTCGGAGGTTTTTTCGCGGCGACCAAAAACAGTTTTTGCAAAGGGAAATAGTCGCTTAAATATGGAATTTTGGTCTCAAAATAATATAATGGCGCGACCAAAATTCGTGCAGAGAAAACAGAAAAGAAATAAATGATGCAAAAATCCAAACAACAATTGATTGGAGAGCTGCTGGTCTGGATTGTTGTCGATGACATTTGCGCAAAACATTAGTGAAAAGGTTTGCAAAGTGTGCGACATTATTCAGTTAGGATCTTGGCATTTGCATTATTCACTCAACCGATTAGTTGATTCAAATAACGATGAAGAGTTAATTGAGTTCATGAAAAATAATTTTACGCTCGAAATTTGAATTTTCCATCAAAGTATGAGAATATCTATGATGTTTAAATACTAAAAATTATCATGTAGATCAGATAACGAATCGAGAAACGGATAGTGGAGGTTGCACTGTAAATTGCTAATATTTACACCCATCATATTTGCATAGCAATTAAACTTTCATACACGTCTTAAAGACAATCAGTCATAAATCAGAATGGCTGTGATTAGATGTGCATTACACATTTCAAGATAAAATGTCTTACATCCGTAAGATGAACTTTTCCGCACTGTGATCCACGACATGAAAGAAAACTAAATCTGACATTAGTTTTAGATAAAAATAATTTTCGAAGCACTTTTCTTACAAAAACTACTAAAGATGGGAGTTTTTGTATCGGAGCCATGCCTATACGATATCGTAATCATGTGAAAATTTGCAGAGGTTATTTTTTTCACAAAAAGTTAACATTCTGAAAGTTTGAAGAAATTTCAATGCATATTAAGGGTACTTCCCATACAAAATTTCGTTTTAGAGCGAAAAATCCAAAATATTGTTCGGGAGGTGCCCCTAATATTCGTTGAAATGTCTTCAAACTCTCGGAATAGTATTTATGTGTGATAAAAATAACCAGTGCAAAGTTTCAGCTCATTACGATATCATACAGGTATGGCTTCCATACAAAAATCCAAATTTTTTGAATTTTTTGTATGAAAAGTGTTTCGAAAGTTGATTGTATCGCAAAACTAAGGTCATATTCGGTTTTCTCGTACCCAAAAACCCCCCAATACACATTTTTGAGTGTTTAAGAATACATTAAATATCACTTTTGGAAGAAAATTTGAATTTTTCCCATGGATGGACATGGGCATCACACCAGACATGACACTTTACCCTGTCAACCAAAGTCGCTCAAAATCTAATGGTTTCTATTCCTCGGCACCCCCAATCATCCTGTGAAGTCAGATTTTGAATTACTTTTCTTGTTTGAAAGTTATCGTGTTAACAAATTTTTGCGTACAGGGTACAGCGTACAGGGTACAGGGTACAGGGTACAGGGTACAGGGTACAGGGTACAGGGTACGCACATACATTCGGACATCGAAAAAACGCTAGATTCGTGTTCCCTGGCCCCAAAAACACCCAGAAAACACATTTTTTATGGGTGTTAATTTTTCGACCGATTCCAATACTTTACCTTACACACTAGGTGTGTGCGGAAAAGTAATAATAAAATATAAATTGTAATAAAACATCTAATTTCGAGGATTTTGTGTGGTAGTTGAACAGTTTTATTTTTTGTATTGGTAAGAATGAACTTGGTTAATAACGAACACGTTATTTACAATAAAACTACAGAATAAATTTAGATTGTTGAATAAATATTCGTCTGTAGCTCTATTTTCGCTTGCCGTTTTCTTTTGCTTCTTTCACTTCTTTTGAGATGCAATGCGACTTCAAATGATCTTTGTAATCCAAAATATTTCCATTCCATTTAGTAACGGTGCCTTTTTCGCAAATCCAAATTTCTTCAGCCACCTGGTTGATCAGACGGAAGTCGTGACTCACCAAAACCTGAAATAAAATCCATTTCATTTATTCCGTATTCGGTTAACTATACAAGTAAAACAACAACATCAAAATTATGTTTTAAAAAAACATACCATGCCGCCGTCAAAATCATTAATAGCATCTGCCAAAGCATCGATTGTTTCCATGTCCAAGTGATTGGTAGGTTCATCTAGCAACAGCAAATGTGGTGTTTGCCATGCAAGCCAAGCGAATACAACACGGCATCGTTGACCATCCGATAATTGTCGAATTGGACAAACCTGTTGTCTACCAGTCAATCCATATCGGCCAATGATTTTACGCATATCTTCACGTTCCTTCACTTCTGGGAAAGCCCTCATCATGTATTCCAATGGACTGGCGTCCAAATCTAATAATTCGTGCAAATGCTGGTGATACCGTGCAATGCGCAAATGTGAATTCTTACGAATCATTCCAGATGTTGGTTGCAAGTCACCGTACAACAATTTCAACAACGTTGATTTACCAGCTCCGTTTGGGCCCACTAAGGCAATACGAGTGTCCAAATCAATACCAAATTCAAGATTTTTGTAAATGTGAGGCGTTGTATCGTTGTAGCGGAAAGACACATTTTGTACCATGATTACCTAAACAAAGGTTGAAAATTAAAATCTAATTTAATACAAGAAAAAAGAAAGAAAAAAATATTTCTTGAAGAATGTGTTAACTTACAGGAGGAGGTACAGTTCCACATGATGGGAAGTAAAAGTTCAATATTTTATCATCGACCACTTTATCGGTCAAACCTTGTGCAACCATTTTTGCAAGTGTTTTCTCTTTCGATTGTGCTTGTCGAGCCAATTTTGCCGATCCGTGACCGAAACGAGCGATGTAATTTTTCATGTGTGCAATTTGATCTTGTTCCCAATTGTATTGTTTCATTTGATTTTCAAGCAATTCCATGCGAGTACGAACAAACGCCTCATAATTGCCCGTATAGTATTTCAAACGTTTTTTATCCATATGAATGATGTTCGTACAGACACCATTTAGAAAATCTTGTGAATGTGAAATCAATACCAAAATTCGTTTGTATTGGCTAAGCTCTTCTTCTAACCAGACACAAGCTTCAAGATCCAAGTGATTTGTTGGCTCATCCAACAACAATAAATGTGGTTTCACAAATAATGCACGAGCTAATGCGATTCGCATGCGCCATCCACCGGAAAAATCTTTTGCCTGTTTCTGTTGCATTTCTTTGGTGAAACCAAGACCATGAAGTAAACGTGCCGCTTTTGCTTCGGCTTGATCGGCAGCCATGTCATCCAAACGTTCATACACATCCATGAGTTGATCTTGGGATTCATCATCTTCTCGTGTCGCCAGTTCTTCAGCCAATTTTTCCAATTTTAAACGTTCCTCATCGACTTCCATTACACCTGAACAAAATGAATGAGATTAAAAATACGCATTAGTTAGATCGAAACGAAGAAAAATGTCCCAAATTTAAACTCACATTCGAGTGCGGTTTTCGTTGATGCTGGTATTTCACGCGACAAATGGAAAATGTCAATGTGTTCCTGAATGGGCACTTCACGATTACCTAAGACGGCCAAAAGTGATGATTTGCCGCATCCATTCAAACCAATCAAACCTACGATTTTTCAGGGAATAGAAATGCAATTCAATTTACGTGATATGAACTCGAAAGATATAAAAGTATCTACCGTAACGTCGGCCACAATTCAATTCAAGCATAGTGTCTTGTAACATCTCAGAACCTTAACAAAAGTGGAAAATTAAAATATAATTTAGTACAAAAAACAATGGAAAAATTCGTTGATTCAAAATGCGTTAACTCACCGAAGAATGTGATGGAAAAATTGGCAATTTTTACATCACGCGACCGTGGATGGACAGCCAACGAACCGGTACAGGCTCTAGCTTCGGCATTGATACGTGCTTCCAATTCCAATTTTGCACACAATATTTCTAAAAACAAAACACGGGATGCATTTTTTTGCATTAAACAAAAATTGAAGAGAAACAAAGACCAAAATCGTGCAAATTGTACCTTCTTCGGTCAGTTCGACGGCAGCACCATTGGTTGCACCGTTTGTTGTTCCATTCGTTGCCTTCTCATCGTTTGTGTCTTTCGAGGTGACCGTAGTGATTTTTTGATTACGTTTCTTTTGCGCTTCCTTCTTGCGCGCTTGTTCACGTTTCTTCGAATCGGATGGCATTGTTGTTGGTTTTTTTCGTTTCAAGAATTTAAATCTAAAAAAGAAACATAATTGATAAATTTTGTGAATGTTGGTGTGAACAACCAATTAAATTATAAGACAGTATAGTATAAAAGTGTGTGAGTGTGTGTGCGCGAAAAAAAGCACTTATTGCTTAACAATCAACTAATAAATCACGATTTATATATTTAAGGCAACTGCACCATTTCACTGCATTAAGCAATCATAAAATACGTCCATCAAAAATCAATACGTACATCCAAGTGAGAAAACGAGAATTGAAAAAAAAAATGACAATTTGATTTATACAGAGGTAACTACAGCAATATTTTCAGCTGTTCATAGTTTAAGAAGCGAGAGATACAGATGACTCAAATGTAAAACTATATACTACGTAAGATCATCAACACAGGCACTGTGTGTGTGATTGTGTTTCGATGCCAATGAAAAAGAATCAATTCAATCCTCAATGGAAAATTTTCCTAACACTGCTTTTTTTTCATTATACCAACCGACACACATTCGATTGATGCGAGTGTATATGTGATTCTGTGTGTATTTGACAGTCATAGAACCTCATTTTTTTCTCTTTATAACCACATTCAAACCCATGCACAAAAGCACCTTGTATGGAATATTACATTACAAAATCATACAACTCAAACTTTTTTAATTGAACTTTCTATACAGAATTTTGCCATTGCCAATAATAATTACAATAACTACACTTGTGCAAACAATGAAATAAACCAATAAATGATATTTAATTCAAACCTTATTTCACAAAAACGAGAGATTATTCGTAGGCAACCAGCTGAATTGAGTTTAGAGTTTACCACGCAGCTTCACGTGTGATTCTAAAAAGACTGGGAACAATGACAGTTTGTTTCATTTTTTTTCTTCGTATTCAGGTATTGTATGACTTGTCGTTTAATGCAAACTCTGGCGGCATTTATAGAAGTTTAAGTGTTTGTACAACGTTTTCATTGAACTACTTTGAATTTATGGCACAAGTAACAAAACAAAACTATTTATTTGGTTCATTTTTAAAAATACGTAATTAAATATTAAATCGTAAAATTAATTCGAATGATTCAATTTGTAAATAATTTGGGGAAAAAAAATGAATTCTTCTCGCGATTGTGTGAGATGGGCGCACATATGCCGATAGATGGCGTTGCTGGTGTTGTGTGTGAGAGAAAAATAAGACCGAACGACAAATGTCAAAATAGAAAACAAAAGTACGCGTCGCTCCTAGAAACACATCAGAAAGAGAGAGTTTTTAGCAGACTGAAATTTCATTTAATTTAAGTGATAAAGTGAAATCAAATAATGACTACTAAACAGGACCAAGACAAGATCTACATTTCACTTCTTGGGCTGGCCGAATATTTTCGCACAACCAATCCACCAAATATTAAAAAATGCATTCAAAGTCTGCAGGCATTACTCACATTTATGCCACCAACAAAGGTGGTGGCCAGAACAAATCTTCAACTGGGACAAGTTTTACTCGTTTATACACAAAACGTTGACTTGGCCCGCCATCATTTGGAACAAGCGGTAATTGAATTTGAATTTCATTTTCTAATTTCACACATAGCGACATTCAAATCTAATGTGAATGGTATTTACCCATTTCTAAATTGATTACAGTGGATGCTGTCGGAAAGTGTTCAAAATTTCGATGATGTTAAATTCGATGCGGCCAGTTTGATTGCGAAATTGTATCAGGTATATTGGAATGATTTATTAGTGAAACAATCATTTTTTAAGACGAGTTTCGTTTTACATCGTTTTCAATTAGGAGCAAAATCAAAGTATATTGGCAAAGCAAATTCTCCGTCGCGCATTACAAATATCACAGCATAATGTTTACTGGCACTGTAGGCTGCTCTTCCAATTGGCTCAATTACATGCCAGCGATAAGGAATATAGTGTGGCATCGGAATTGTTGGCTCTTGGCGTTGAATCGACAGAAGAAACGAATGCAACATATTTGAAAGTGTTATTTCTGTTGAGTCGTGCCATGATTCTATTGATCGATCGTAAAATGAATGACGTATTGGCGATATTTCATCAAGCGAGCATCGTCATTGAAAATTCCATTCAAAATTTACATTTGAAAGAATATTTGAAAGTGTTTTATTTGACGTTGCAGGTAGGTTTATCGTTTTGAATGCAATTTATTTTGACGATTTTTTTGAGACAGAGTTATGCATTTCTTTGTAAAATCATTTTAGGTTTGCTATTATCTGACACTCGGCCAAGTAAAAACGGTGAAACCAAATTTAAAGCAATTGCAACAAAGCATTCAAACGCTAATGGCGCCCACATGGCCATCAGACGAAATAATCTTCGGCCAAAATGGAACCAATAACTTGGAAATGTTTATGTGGCTACCAAAGGAGCAACTATATGTTCTTGTGTACTTGGTGACCGTTGCACACTCGATGATGGCTGGCTATATGGATAAAGCACAAAAATTCACTGACATTGCATTGGAACAAATTGAAAAATTGCGCGCACGAGAAAACAAACCAATTATCTCAATGTTCCAAATCATATTATTCGAACACATCATCATGTGTCGATTGATTATGGGCAACAAAACTACTGCCATCAAGGTAAATGTCATTACTAATTTTTGTAACCATTTAAACCAATAAAAAAATCGAAAATAAAATCACTTCTTCGTTGTAGGAAATCTCCATGGCTCGCGATGTGTGCTTAAATTCGCCGGATAAGACACTATTACAACGTCATGCTCCGCAACTGCATTGCTTAATAGGGTTGTATGCAATGTCGATTAATTGTTTCGAACATGCTGAACGTCAATTATTATGCTGCATACGTGAAACAACCGAACGGGATTTGAAATTTTTCGCTAATTTACATTTGGCCATTATTTATTTAAGAACGAATCGTGAATCGGAGTTGCGTCAAATACTCGATGCCGCTCAAATAGAAATTTCACATGGTTTGAATAGTCAAGCGCTAAGTGGTTGTTTTTATTATGTTCAGGGATTGAATTCATTCCATAAGCACGCCTTTCAAGATTCAAAACGATTCTTGCGTGAAACACTCAAAATGGCCAATGCCGAAGATTTAAATCGTTTGACATCGTGTTCGCTGGTTCTATTAAGTCATGTATTTTTGAGCATTGAAAATTCCAAAGAGAGCATGAACATGGTAACACCAGCACTGCAATTGGCATCGAAAATTCCCGATATCAATGTACAATTGTGGGGTAGCGCGATTTTAAAAGATCTCCATCGAATATCACATGAAGTTATGCAAGAGACTGAAGTATACGCCAATCATATGACATATTCACAACAACTGCTTAATGATCAATACAACTGTACTCAATTGCCGGAGCATGTGATTCTTTTGAATTGGCTCGCTGGCGACCCACCTACATTCACAGATGTTCAACAACAACAACAACAACAACAACAACAACAACAACAACAACAAATGCCATCAACATCATCATACGTTCAAAACTATGGCGGTGCACAATAAATAGAAACAACCATTGTCGATTCTTTTCTTTTTCAATTTTAAACTTTTTTCGCCATTTCAAAATTAAATTGAGTGTTTTTAAATTTGTCCAATTTTAAACTCAATTCAGTAGAGTTTATAAGAAAAAATTCAGAGTTTTCGTTTCTTGGAAATAAAAGTTTTAATAAAAAAAACAATTATATTTATATGAACACTTTATTTTTTATTTACTATAATAATATAAAATTTCGTAAAAAGTATAGTTTATATTTATGGCGCTCTTCGTCGATAAAAAATACTTTGAAATGAAAAGCGTATATTTGTTTTTATATTTTAATCCATTTATTGCAAAATCTCAACCTTAAGATATCAAATCTTTAATATTCCGTAAGTTTGACTTTTTAAAGAACATCCACAATGAGACTAACGTAAAATCAATTTGATATTGTATTATCAAAGTTGATACAATTTCTTTTTCAAACAATCCAGTATATGCGTTTGAACATTTGAAAATTGGAATATCTTACAAATATTCTTATTAATTTTTACTTTTCCGCCCACACGTGGTGTGAAGGGAAAAGTCTCTTAATGGGGCCTAAAAAAAAAATTCTCAAAATGGTCGGAGATGACCTTTTCTGGGTTGGGGATGAAAAAATAATCGATTTGATGCCAGGTTGATGTGGGTCTGTTTCACGTTGTACGTTGTACATGATCGTTTTTGTTCACCCATTATCTCTTTTCTCGTAATAATCTTTTTAAATCTGATTTTATAGGATGGTTTGGAATGTGAGATGAACATCAAATAGACAGTCAAAAAAGTAGCGTCATATTGGTTTCGAAGTTCACAATGAGCCAACGACTTGTAACAGTTTTCATTTCATAGGACACATTGTACATAAAAATGACTCCGTTGGCTTAATTATACAAATGTTTTCGATTTTTTTTTTGAAATTTATAAATAAATTGTCTCTTAATTGTGAGCTCAATTTAAGGTATTAACTTCATTCAATTATTTATCGAAGCTTTACCCTTTACAGTTCATAAACAAAACACTACTTTATATTTTGACTATTTTTGTCTACTCAATTTTTCTTTTATTGTTATTTCAAAGGTTAGAATTTCTTTACAACTGGCTACATTATTAGCATATGTCATAGAATCTCAAAGTGAGAATGATCTATCCGGACATAAATTGGTTGGATGATTGAGCATTTGCGTTTGATTGCGCGTTTGCACCAGATGAACCGAAACCGCCTGGACCAAAGTTGTTATTGCTGGTTGCTGTATTAGCGCTTGCTAATGCGCCCAAATTAGATGAACCGAAACTACCGCCTAGACCACCGTAATTACTATTGCTGCTTTGTGAAATAGATCTGAAAATTAAGGTAAACCATGAATTAATTGGTAAATTGGTTAAAGATATCGAGAACATACGATGTTTGAGAATTTGAATTTGACGATGATCCACCAAGTCCACCAAGTCCACCAAGTCCACCAAGTCCACCAAGTCCACCAAGTCCACCA